CACCCCAAAACTGTCCCTGTTCACACTCAGCCTCTTTTGGACACCCGAAAACTGCCTCAGCCTCTTCCTGGTCACCCCAAAACTGCCCATGCCCAGCCCTAAGCTCTTCCTGGACATCCCAAAACTGCCCCTGTCAGACCTGGAGACCCTAAAACTCACCCTGCCCACACTCAGCTTCTTCCAGGACACCCCAAAACTGCCCCTGTCCGGCCCCAGCCTCTTCCTGAACACCCCAAAACTGCTCCTGTCCAGAGTCAGCCTCTCCCTGGGCACCCCAAAGCTGTTCCTGTTCACACTCAGCCTCTTTCGGACATCCCAAAACTGCCTCAGCCTCTTCCTGGGTACCCCAAAACTGCCCATGCCCAGCCCTAAGCTCTTCCTGGACACCCCAAAACTGCCCATGTCCGGCCCCAGCCTCTTCCTGGGTACCCCAAAACTGCCCATGCCCAGCCCTAAGCTCTTCCTGGACACCCCAAATCTTCCTCCCAGCCCTAAGCTCTTCCTGGACACCCCAAAACTGCTCCTGGCAGACCCAGAGTCCCCAAAACTGCTCCTGTCCACACTCAGCCTCTTTTGGACATCCCAAAACTGCCTCAGTCAGACTCAGACTCTTCCTGGTCACCCCAAAACTGCTCCTACCCAGCCCCAAACTCTTTCTGGACATCCTAAATCTGCCTCCCACGGGGTCCCAGGCTCTTCCTGGACACCCCAAAACTGCCCCTGTCAGATTTGGACACCCCAAAACTGTCCCTGCCCAGCCCCAAACTCTTCCTGGGCACCCCAAAACTGCCCCTGTCAGACCTGGACACCCTAAAACTCACCCTGCCCACACTCAGCCTCTTCCCAGGCACCCCAAAACTGCCCCTGTCTGGCCCCAGCCTCTTCCTGAACATCCCAAAACTGCTCCTGTCCAGAGTCAGCCTCTCCCTGGGCACCCCAAAGCTGTTCCTGTCCACACTCAGCTTCTTTTTGACATCCCAAAACTTCCTCAGCCTCTTCCTGGTCACCCCAAAACTGCCCCTGCCCA